ATTCTTCTAAAAGTTTCTTCAGATTACAATTTGAATATTTAAGAAGCAAAAGAAAAATATGTCGACATTTTACTAACAAAGAATTTATTAATTTAGCAAAGATACCTTCCCTTCATTTGGTCAGGTTTCTTTTGACTTCCAGCATTGTTTTGTAGATAGTTTATGACCGACTTCACCATTTAATAACATAGATATTAATTTTTGAATTAATTTTTACCACTATAGGTAACCTCTAATTAATGAGGAAAAATTCTTGCTGTCGTTACGCCCTCTTTGGGAATCGAAGCTGGCTTTGCATACTATTTCAATCACTGAGTTGCGAAAGATGACGACAGCAACAACGACGATAGGTCACAGATCGTCATACCGATGTATAATCATTATTTTAACAATGGGACATTTAGAAAAATTTGCAGCGTTAATTTTAACACATTAAAGTGAATTTTTTTTAATAAACTTTTACTACTGCAGATAACTGAAGTAAAAATGTTGTCACGCCCTCGCCGGGAATCGAACCCGGGTCTTTGACTTTACGCATCATAAGCTAGGATACGTTACGATACATTAAAGTGAATTAACATTTTTACAATTGCAGATAACCTCAAATTAATGATTAAAAATTATTGAAACCCGGGTCCCTGGCTTTAAGTCAACATCAGCTCTACCACTAGGTTACGAGTATAAATATTATAAATCGGCCAACTCACGAACCGATTTTGTATGATTTAGGTCGCACTTGTTTAAAGTTGTTCAAAGAATTATTTTAATAAATTACTTTTCCTAAATTGTTTAGAAAGTAATTACAAATTCTATCGTTCCCTGGGCAATCGAACAGATTAAATTTGTCTACCGGAAAATAGAAGTTCACGAAGCCTAAATACCAAATTATCCCCTTCATTACCACGTCGACCTAAATCTATTCGATTTGGTTTCGAGTCAAATTGAAAATTGAATTTAAACGAAGAGGGAGCAGTAGTGGAATTGTTTTGTCGCCAAAATGTATTAGCTTAATAGGTTATACAACATTAACTGTATTTCAAATGCAAATTAAAATTGTCACGTTTGCATTAAAGTGTGATATAAATAAGCATAAACATAATTTAACAATCAGAGGTGGGAAATAATTAGGACCTGAATGAATTACGTTAAATTGATTGACGGGGAAGACAGCAGAAACTACGACTTCAACTGTCCAGTGAAGTTTGTTTTCATTTACATATAAATATATAAATATTTGACGAAACATTAATTTGACACCTCCAACCTTTGTTTGATGGTTTACGTATTTATACCGCCATTTAGCGTAATATTAATAATTTCTTTTTAAACGCTAGTGACAATTTGAGAATCAAATATATGGCTATTCTATTACACGGAATCATCAAAGGGCGGCATCGATTTTTAAAAATACTACGTCATCATCATCATAAAGTTGTCAGTCCTAAAACTGGTTTGACACGTACCTCCACTTTTTCCTATCCTGAGCCAATCTTCGTATTTCCCTAAAACTAGAACAACTCACATCTTTAACTATTTGCGAACAGTAATCTGATCTACCTCTACCCCTTCTAACTCCTGTTTCTGCCTCTAATATGTCTCTGACTTGACCTTCGTGCCTGAGAAGGTGCCCTGCCAACCTATCTCACCTATTTCTTATTGACTTCTATAGATTTCTTTGTTCTCCGATTCTTTCTAACACCTCTTCATTGCTAACATTTTCTATCCACGTTATTCTCATTATTCGTCTATAAAACCACATTTCGAAGGCTTCTAACCTCTTCTTTTCCGCCGCACCCACTGTCCCGTACAACGCCGCGCTCCAAACATACACCTTTAACAACCTTTTTCGTAAAAATATCTTCGGCCATTTTTTCATATTTAGTGTAATTCCTGGCGACATGGTGCACCGGCTGAGTTGGAACATTTCAGTTTTCGCGACAATAGTTGAGCTCAGCAACGATGCTGCTAATCAGAGGTAATAGTGTACACGTGTTGCATCACAGGCTAACGATTATGACGTTAAAGTACATAAAGAGTAAGTAAGGTAATCAAGGAGGTCGTGGGAATTGTTGAGGTTATGATCAGGTTGGCGGAGTTGTCAGATTTGTGTTGTATTTAGCGAAAATTGCCTGTGGCGACTCTCCTGTAAAATTGGGAGAAATGGCACAGTAAGTTTTTGTTTCGTTGGTACCATCTGTCTCGTAGAATAGAAAAGTATGCTACTTTATTATCCGTCTAGGAAGAGAGAGCCATTCAGAAACTAGCATGTTAAGTTCAGGAAGATACGAGTAAAGCCCAAGAAGCAATTCAAAACAATAATATTCCAGAAAGCATGTTAGACAAATTCAGGGAGCCAAAAGCAGGTGACAGCCGTTTTATCATCATCGGAGCACACCCAATGGCGAGATTAAACCAAAAAAGAAAAAGAGAACGGTAGTGAAGAAAGCGGTTACAAATGAGTCAACAACAATTCAGATTTTATTCTACAGGAATCTACTGATAGGCTTTCTGAAGGCGACTGGGCGCAGTGTCTTAAATACGATGGTTTCATATAGAGCTGCTCAAAGTCAATTTTTGTGACATGTGCGGAAATATTTTATGTCGTAAAAATCATTAAATGTCAGGCTATTCTAGTGAACCATCTGGCCCGTAGTGGCTGTACCAACTCATTCATCCACGTCGGCTGATATGACTCAGGTGACGAGAATAGATTTTATTATTTCTTTTATGAATACATTTATATATTTGATATATTAACATCAAAACTGTTTTATTCATATTACTGTTTTAATGACGAATATACTTTTATACTGTGTTAGTCACAGCATTTGTAATTCAGGAATGGATAAACCAATTTTAATGATCTCTGATTTGTCGAATAGCAGAACAAATACTAAAATATCAGAAAATTTCACGAAAAAAAATTATACATAAAAACCAATTTTTAAATAAATTATGTTTGGAACTCCACCATCTTCCGCAGTTGACAGCTCACGTCAGAGATGCTCATAGCTTATTTGTAATAATTGATGTCTACTGTAAGCCAATGATATAGTACCTACATGTTATAGAATAGAAATTCAACGGAAAACAGTGGGAAATTGGCATATTCAAACTTCTGAACAACCGACATGTAACATTGCGAAACGCTCCGCAATGACCAAAGTTTTAGCAGCAGTTAAAATCATCATCTAGGACGAATGCACAATAGCGCACAAACGCTCATTGGAAGCACATGACCGAACATTGAATGATCTGCGCAATGATTCAAATTATTTTGACGGCTGCCGATGAAATAAACGCTTGCCTCAAATTATCAAATCTCTGGTGCTATGCGAAGAAACTTCAGCTGAAAGCAAACATGAGAGTTGCATTTGTGAACGATCCATCTGCTGAATATTTCTCCAAGCAATTGTCGACTATCGGTAATGGCCATGTTCCTGTTGACAAATCGAGCGAATTGATTTCATGTCCTCCGAATTTTTAAACTCCTTAGATGTGCCTGGCTTATCACCGCACAATTTACAACTGAAGATTAGCTCAGTAGTCACGATGCTTCGAAATATATACCAACCAAAACATACAAAGTAATGCGTTTGGTGATAGGAAAACTCATGATCATGAAAATTCAAAGGTGAGGAAGTTCTCATTTCGAGGATTCCGATGATCGGGCATAATCGGTTAGCCCGTTGAGTTTAAACGAATTCAATTTCCGATTGATCTTGCATTCGTCATAACAATTAACAAATCACAAGGTCAATTCTTGAGTAAAATAATTCGAAAACGCACTGTTAAGTCAGCAGGTAAAAGTTGGTCTGTGATCCGCGCCTGGCAGTTTCGACAGAATACTTCGAATTATTTTATTCGATTATGGTAACGTGCCTATCACATTGAGGTTAGGTACGCCGGGATTCGTTTCAGCAAGTAGATATCCATATATTTAAATGGACCTTGTTGGAGCATACGTAATCCTAAAATGTAGCATCGTACTACAGATGGCGTATACCGCGCCATTTGTGGTATTTTCGATTCTTGAGTGTTTGTGAATCTAGAAAATACATGTTTTTCTCATGGTTAATTGTACGTGGCATGTTCACGTGTCTGCAAACCATCCGCTTTATTTATTCTTGCCCCCTGATAACAAAACGAAAAGTATCGTACATCACAAGGTGTTTCACTGAAGAGAATCAACCCCCAATCAATCAACTTTTGTAGCAAAATACATAGTTTCAATAAAGGAAATGTCTTGCCGACACGCCATTGAAATACTTCAATTTTGTAAGTTTATTGAATTTTTATTTTCTGTACATATATTATCCTAATAAACAATTGAACTTAAAAATTTCTTTTTGTATTCGATTTATTACGTTAATAAAATCCTAAATTAAGTTTAGCTAAAAGTTAACATGACATTCATTGTCTGTTAAACGGTACGAAGGTCGGGTCGCTTGAATTGCTAATAAATAATAAGTCCAACAAAGGCAATTTACAGCTTTTGGGGATGTTACGAATTGTTCAAAATATTTTGAGAGTTTGGTTAGTTTAGGACAGTTTTTAGAGAAGCAAGTGAAAGTTTTAAATAGACGCGGTTGAGAAAATATATTCCACACGTTCACTAAATTTTGCATTTTCGATCCTGCGAGTGCACTAATTTTTTTTTTTCAAATGGGGTTAAAAAATAAAATTTATGACAAACCATTATAAAGTCTAATCTAGTCACTATTACTATTAATTACTTCAGAAAAAGATCAAAAGGGCTGTTTGTAATGTATTAGTCCTTACGAACTATACAAGTATCCTTCAGGAAGCCTCCATCTAAAAGCGGAACGTTGGGAGATTGTGAGTAAAAAATAACTTTTGACCTAAATCAGTTCAAAGTGGTTTTCTTCATAAAGAATAATTTTTTCCACTTAAAGAACACTGTGTTGACGCGAATGAGTATTGTGGACTTTTAAATTAAAAGTTTGGTAAATAAAAATTATATATTTGTTGTTATTATGGAGTAACAAGGGATTAAAGCTTTATCATCGATTCTGGAAGTAAATGTGGAGATGGAGGACTAATTGTAATACCAAAGCGATTGCCTTATTCTTGCTGTATACTGTTGTCACTGTTCTTGTTCTTTTGAAATGAGTAATATTCTTTAGATGATTTGCACTATTATTATAGAAGCTAACCACTGCACAGCTACCTTAATTTTTAATAAATAGACACAGTTCTCATTTGATATCTTATTTAGGTACAGTCTAACATTTATTTCCGTTTCAGTTCTTCTGATAACCACTCAAGCCCTTCATAGAGGCCGCTACCTTGTATTGCGCAAGTTGGCTGAATGTGCCAAGTCCTTCTTTGAGTTAAACGATCCAAATTAAGTTTTTCCCTTATTTCACATATGCTCATTGCATTTGGCAAGTCTCTTTTGTTAGCAATTATTAGTAATACCGCGTTTCGTAAATCGTCTTCTTGAAGCAAACCCGCCAACTCTTTTCCTGACTCTTCAATTCGGTCTCTATCAGTCGAATCAATGACAAAAATTATGCCATTTGTGTTTTGATAATAGTGACGCCACAGTACTCTAATTTTGTCTTGCCCACCAATATCCCAAACTGTGAAACAGATGTTTTTATATTCTACTGTTTCGACATTAAAACCAATCGTTGGTATAGTTGACACAACTTCTCCCAGTTTCAATTTGTAGAGTATCGTAGTTTTGCCAGCTCCGTCCAGACCAACCATCAGAATGCGCAAATGTCGTTTTTGAAAAATACGTAAAAGAAAATGAGAAAATGTTAGTCCCATTTTGTCTTTGGAAGTAGTCAAAGTGATTTATGTCATAGTGTTTAAATGACAAGGGAGTGTTATAACCTATATTGTACGTCAATGAGGATTTATTTATATTGAAAGCTAAATCTTGCACAAAATTTTGACTGACAGCGTTTCAAGACTTTTTGGAGTGTGGATGCATGAACCTGACGTAATGTATATGGAATCAATTTTGTTCGACAACAATACAACTTTAAGGAATGTAGTTATGCATTTTGTATGGTTCTATTTTATTAATTTACTCAAGTTCAAGCTATATTATTCAATATCCAGATATGGTATAGGTACTTGTTGGTAATTGCCTGAAGTACTCGTCATTACACTTTGTATCCTGAACTAAGTTGTGCAATGCTTAGTAATGATTATATTCCAGGATATAGCGCCTATTTTTTAAATTGATTATTAACGGGATGAATGTTCGCGTGTAATTACGTTCTGAGGGGTCTTCGAACTTCTCTCTCTCTGTCAAAATTCTTGATAGCGGTATGCAAAGTCAGTCCTACCCGCAAATGATGTTGATCTGGCGACTTTTTAGGCTTTTTTTTTTATTTGTCAAATAATGTATCAAAAACAAGAAAATGCGCTTATCTCACAAAAGCAATAGCGTAGACTTTATAATCTTTTGCTTCCAGTATGTCAAAATCACGAGGTTTTAAATTTTATTATTGACGAGCCGATTTTTACACTTTTCTTTAATTAATATTTTTAAAATCAAATGGCTAAATTATCCTACAAATTATCAGGCATGATTGACCAGTCTTACGCTTTAAGTAGGTAATAGGTAACTGTATCTTTGTGAATAAGCAACGGAGTGACCTATAAAAATATTGTCAAGTACTGCTAATCCTACCAAAAACATTTTAGCATACTTTTTTCAATTTGGTATTGGGAATTTGGTAATTCTTCAAATCCTGATATTCCCTGCGTTTCGTAATTTAGGATAAAAATAAAAATTTTTGAAATTCTTTTATTCACATCAAGTATTCACTCTGCATTTTTGTAAATTCTGTTTAAAGGCTTTTATTGCTAATGTTATTGTTAAAGAAATTGTTTATTAGTTAACAGTAATTAGGTACCTACATTATTTTGTAATCAATAAATGAAATATTAGGTTTTTGTAGTGGGTACTTAATGCCATTCCTTTTTAAGTACGTTCATTAGTTTTATCAATATCTCCCAAATATCTTATAGGACACTAATTTTATTGTATAAAGGAATAAAAATTAAGTTTTACCGGACAATTTGGAGGACATTCTGACCACTTCATTTTAGAAATGTTAATTAAAAAAAAATAGTTTAACAAGCAGCTCGTTCATAATACAACTTTAGGTCTCGTAATTTTCATACAAGTACCGAAAGCAAAGGACTCGACAATCTAACCCATCACATTTGTAAGACAAGTGCATTTCCTTGTTTCTTTTAAGCATTATCTGACATACAAACTAAAAAAGGGACTATCATAAATGAAATTTAAAAAGCCACCAGATTAACATGTTTGTGGGGTTGGACTCACTTTGCATGCCGATATCGTTAGAGGAAAATTGGGGGACTTATCACAACGAAACCACTCATGAAAATTTACTACTTAGTCAATTTAAAAAGAGGCCCTGAGTCCTGGACTATTAATAAAAAAAAATGTTTTCTAGTACTTTGTTAGCAGGTACTTTCAGTCTTGTAGACATCGATACTTAAGGGTTGATTTTAAATCAAATTATATTCCTAGCTTCTACCTTACCAGCAAAATGCTAGAGGCGCCTTAAATACCAATTACTTAGATGTTACTCTGCTCATTTTAAAATTTAGATACCTCAATCGTTTTGCAGTAAAGTTACCATGCTTTTCAAGCAAGTTTGGGCTTTTCCAACTTTGGGTGGAGTATTTAATATTTAGTCATACGCAAAATAACTTCTGGGTGCATGAATACAGTTTTATAAAAATTCTTTATTTAATATATGGTACACCGTTGGGTACTTGAAGTAATTCTTGTAGAATCAGCCTAGTTAGCAGTGAAAGTACCAACCGATTTCCTATGATCAGGGCATTGGTTAACTGCCCCTTTAATCGTCTTTATTGTTGTCAAGCCTAAAATAATAACCTATAAGGTGCACAACGAAGGTCTCATAGTAAACTGAAAAAGCTCCAGTATTTCACAAAAGTAGTAAATATTGACTTGAAAGGAGTATATCCCCAGACAAAAATTTTCAGTCGCTCTCCAGTCTCTCAGAGTCTTTCAGCGTTTCTGAGAGCGTCTCTCACGGACTTTCACAGTCTCTCAGTTATTGCCTAGGTGTTTTTATGGACCTCTCACAGTCTCTGCATGAGAGACTCGAACGATAAAATTATTAATTCAGAGATTCGAGTCTCTCACAGAGAGACTGAATGAATAAAATTGAAAAATTGAGAGACTCGAGTCTCTCGTAGACAGACTGGGATCTCTGAAATGTTACTTAGAAAATTTTAACCATGCCTATCGAGACACCAATTATTGAGAGACTCGAGTCTCTCATTCAGAGACGCTAAACAGTTTTGTTTTGACGGTTTCTCTCAGCGACACCAGAGAGACTCGATGAGAGACGGAGACTCGTGTCTCGCTTTCAGAGACTCTGAGAGACTGAACATTTTTATCTCGGGATCACAAAACAGATTTTTAGATATCAAGTGGAATATTCTAGTCTGATTCTATATAAATACAAGTTTCTATTGTTTATTACTTCAGCACTTCTCATGTCACATTGAGTATTATAAAAAAAATAAATTTAAGTAAAGTGCATTTTTTAAATATATTTAGCTATAGTTCGTACAAGTTCGGCTTTATTTTATTTATACGACAAAGGCTACACCTAGCAGTGAACACAAACAGCTTCTTAAAAATGTTTTATGCAAGAAAGTGACTCTTAAACTTTTATCTACTCCGATTATTATTAAAGGAGAGAACCCTTTTGTTTTGAACATTTCACTACTTACATTAACAGAGAACAATACTTGAGCAAACTACTTTTTAAAGCTGCTATAGAAACCGTAAAGAATTTGTAATTTTCGAAAGGCTTGTAATGAATAAACATCACAATTTACATTGTTTAAAGCACTCATTGTTAATGCTTTGTGTTCCTAAAGTAACTTTTCTATCGAACAGTGCTAGAACTTCGCAGTAATTTTATGTTTTAATACTGTCTGTTTAAGTGTAGCACCTCCTATAAATTGTTTATAATAAACTAGCGACCCGCCCCAGCTTCGCACGGGTGCAGTATGCTGATACTAAATATAGACAATACAAACCGGTCCCCCGTCCGGTATCACCGCAGCCGCTATGTCTGCATTTTCTCTGTCTACAATATTCATTTAAATTTCACGCTGTAAAGGGCCATATTGATCTATATTAAATGTACAATGTATTTCAAAGTACTTAATTGGATAAGAATTAATGCAGTATTGCTTAAAATTGCTTCCTAAATAAGCCATTATTTCTCATAAAAAGTAAAGGATAAAAAATGTTTATTGTGGATTGTCCTTAAGAGATAGACATATACCATCGCGGACTTTTTTGTAGACCTTCTTAAGGTGTACAATACTGTAATACAATATTTTGATCTATCTCGTACGGTTCAGCCAGTGTTTGCAATGTAAACGCAAAAAAATTGTTTATTTGCGACATCACATTGGAAACCTCTAAAATTATCAGTGTTTCTTTACTATATTATGCATGTATTATACATATAAACCTTCCTCTTGAATCACTCTGTCTATTAAAAAAAACCGCATCAAAATCCGTTGCGTAGTTTTAAATATCCAAGCATACATAGGGACAGACAACGGGAATCGACTTTATTTTCTACTATGTAGTGATACCTAGCCATCGTTTGAGTCAACCTTAAATTTCAGTTTTAATTATAATCTAATGGGAAGTATATTAAACCTATAAAATTAATTTCAATGGAACTATGTGTTACAGGAAGAATAGAAAGGTATAAACGAATTGAGAACATTAAATTACAATCAAAAGGTGGCAAGATCTTTTGCAAAACCTTATACAAATACCTTCAGCCATTTCTTGATATAGGTATGTTTGCCTTGAAATCACGAGCAAAATTTTCTCAAACTGTTGGTTTTAACAGGGGAAATGAAACTCGATATAAAACACTATATACAGACTATTTACAAATGAATTATTAACAATGAAATAACAGATAACAACTACAGGCACGACGAAGAAAATATGAATTAAAAACGCAAGTTAACAAGAAGAAGGACAGAACGTAACTAACTCTAAATTATGTGACAAAATCAAAAATTGTTCTGGTGCCACCATCAATACCTGGTATGCAACAAAACAATACGAGCCAGAAGCCAGAAGCCAATAAGGGAAAAAACCCAATAAGTTATGACTGCCTCGAGCTATTAAATTCCTATAACCTGCATAGAATTGAAAAGCATCGACAATAAAATTAACAAAGATGGTTGCCGTCGAAGACCTTCGCAGAACCTTACCATTGCGACGAAATGGACCTATTATTGTTTGCAAAGAATATTCAAGAGATATTTGACTACCTTGTAGCCATTTGAAATTATGGAAGTTTCCAATATAACAAAATGAAATAGGTTGAATAATGATACGCAAATATATTCTATCTCTAACAACTAAAAAAAAAATACAACGTGTAATTATACAACACGCTACTGAAGTGAAACTTCTTCAAATACACAAACATATCGGGATAGGGGTTAAGGAATTGGCTTAATGGTATTATTTGTACACTATGAATTTAATTTCTACACTATACATGCCGAAGTTGCCTGTAGCGAACGTTGCATTGAAACGCGCTCACGACTGAAAAGACCCCCACTACGAACTCGACTACGTGGCCGAGTAGAGAGGGGACATCCGTTGCATAATTTCGTTACATAGCAATTCGCATGAAACGAACTTACCCTACCGTACATAAAGAAGTTTCACTTCAAAAAGAATATTAAAATTAAATTGAAATAAGGTAAATAAAGCACAAATGTAATTTAAAGCTTTTGAAGGGTGTTAAGGCTTTGTTCAAAAGATTTATAATTTGGCTAGAACAGTATGAGTTGGCATGTCATGATTGCGAAAAATTCAATTTGCTCATTGGTAGCTGTTATACTGTAGTGTGACAAAAAATCATTTTCGATTGCTTAGATGTAAGCGTCACTCGTGTGTTATTACAACTGATGTCGATCGATCGTCGGCACGTGCATGTTGCGGTTTTGAAGTCGCTAACAAATTCATTATATCGGTGTTGGCGGTCGGTGAAGCCAATATGAAATAAAAAAACTTTAAATTAGAATTCAGTCATCTTTGGTACTTGAATATATACAAACGCTGTTAATCGTTCTGTAAGTTAACTTTAATGAATGAATCTTTCTAAATCAGCAGCACTTTTATTCAAGCAGTGAAACACACATTTGGAGAACAATCTGGGATTTTTAACTGTATTCGCCATGTAATAAAAGAATTTGGTTCTAANTGAATATATACAAACGCTGTTAATCGTTCTGTAAGTTAACTTTAATGAATGAATCTTTCTAAATCAGCAGCACTTTTATTCAAGCAGTGAAACACACATTTGGAGAACAATCTGGGATTTTTAACTGTATTCGCCATGTAATAAAAGAATTTGGTTCTAAAGAAATAGACTTTTCTGAATCGACCACTAATGGATTTTGATTTTAGCGACATGATCTTTGAATTTGTTTCTTTCTTATGGAAAGAATCAAGATGATTTATGTGCACAGATACCTTCAAAAATATGTAATATCCAAATAGAGACGATAGAGACAATGTACCGCCATTAAGTGGGTATTTGCTCAAGTGAAAGAAATTACCAAACCACCAAAAAGCTGTGCCAAAAAGTATACTTCGTTTAGTTTCTGTAACGATGTGACCTTCAGTTTGACCGGCGCAAAGTAGAAAAGAACAGCACTAGGCTAGAAAAGAAAGGAGACAACCCTCAGCCGAACTCTTAACCGGCGAGGAGCGTATAATCCGTACAGTACTGCACGGAAAAATTGACCATTTTATCCACTACAATTGCATTGCTCAAATGTGCTGTTACTGGTACCAATTACTACTGAAAATATCAACGAGATGTTTATTTATATTTGAAGACATATTAAAGGCTTTAACGCTTGTTTTCGACTCGCACTACTATTCATGATTGAATAAAACTTTTGGCAGGTACTGTTTGAAAAAGTATGTTTAATGAACAAGAATCGAGAGTATAAGAAGCTTTTTTCTCCCTACCTACTTTTTTACCAGCGCGCATCCAAGACATTGGAAGGGGCACATCACTAGAGAAAGTAAATGAAGTATAGTTATTTTAGACCTTTTCGACACACATACCCCTCCCCCCATAATCTCTTTCCGCCGGTCGCATCATCTAAAATGTTTACCAAAATATCCTCTTCGTGCAACTCTTTTATCTGACAGTTCACTCAACCAATAGCTAAAAGGCTATCAGGTGTATACATTTTCTCTGTTCATTAAACATTCATGTCATTTACGATTTAGATATTTACTCATTTGTAATAACGATAAGTATAAGCTTCTCGATAAATATCGTGTTACTGCTTTGCGGAATCTTGCATTAGCAAATTGATCCGTTAATAAATGCTATCTCAGTGTCTAAAAAGCACTAGAGGTTTGAGCACTAGCTATTTCGAATGTCGCCCATGTGGTAAATCCATTAACTAAATTAATATTTAACATCCGAAATTATTCGCAACTACCAATTGTCAATTTAATAGACTGAAATGTGCAAAACGTCAATATACTTCACAGGACTTAATATCCCTGCAGAGTTGGGTATACGTATTTCGAAGCATGTGCATACGACAGCATTTTATTAAATGCGGAAACAATATACGTTATTTAGAATACAAATATTAACACAAGTTTCATATTTAAATTTCTTATTGATTGACATTTGTGGTTTTCTATTTAATATTATATAATAGTTCGCAATGAAGTTTATTAATATGACGCCGATTTGATATATTACCACACAAAATCAAAAATTGTTCTGGTGCCACCATCAATACCTGGTATGCAACAAAACAATACGAGCCAGAAGCCAGAAGCCAATAAGGGAAAAAACCCAATAAGTTATGACTGCCTCGAGCTATTAAATTCCTATAACCTGCATAGAATTGAAAAGCATCGACAATAAAATTAACAAAGATGGTTGCCGTCGAAGACCTTCGCAGAACCTTACCATTGCGACGAAATGGACCTATTATTGTTTGCAAAGAATATTCAAGAGATATTTGACTACCTTGTAGCCATTTGAAATTATGGAAGTTTCCAATATAACAAAATGAAATAGGTTGAATAATGATACGCAAATATATTCTATCTCTAACAACTAAAAAAAAAATACAACGTGTAATTATACAACACGCTACTGAAGTGAAACTTCTTCAAATACACAAACATATCGGGATAGGGGTTAAGGAATTGGCTTAATGGTATTATTTGTACACTATGAATTTAATTTCTACACTATACATGCCGAAGTTGCCTGTAGCGAACGTTGCATTGAAACGCGCTCACGACTGAAAAGACCCCCACTACGAACTCGACTACGTGGCCGAGTAGAGAGGGGACATCCGTTGCATAATTTCGTTACATAGCAATTCGCATGAAACGAACTTACCCTACCGTACATAAAGAAGTTTCACTTCAAAAAGAATATTAAAATTAAATTGAAATAAGGTAAATAAAGCACAAATGTAATTTAAAGCTTTTGAAGGGTGTTAAGGCTTTGTTCAAAAGATTTATAATTTGGCTAGAACAGTATGAGTTGGCATGTCATGATTGCGAAAAATTCAATTTGCTCATTGGTAGCTGTTATACTGTAGTGTGACAAAAAATCATTTTCGATTGCTTAGATGTAAGCGTCACTCGTGTGTTATTACAACTGATGTCGATCGATCGTCGGCACGTGCATGTTGCGGTTTTGAAGTCGCTAACAAATTCATTATATCGGTGTTGGCGGTCGGTGAAGCCAATATGAAATAAAAAAACTTTAAATTAGAATTCAGTCATCTTTGGTACTTGAATATATACAAACGCTGTTAATCGTTCTGTAAGTTAACTTTAATGAATGAATCTTTCTAAATCAGCAGCACTTTTATTCAAGCAGTGAAACACACATTTGGAGAACAATCTGGNACCCCCACAGAGATAAATATTATTATCTGTTGGTGGGACTAGTAAAAGAACAAGATAATAACTTAAAACTAAATATTGGAGTAATGATTTATTTTGTAATTGTATTTTAGTTATTTTTAGGGTGTTGGTTATTCAAACCCAGTTTTAATGGATGCCGGAACTCCGGTATTGAATTCTTTAGACTTTGTTGCTGTAATACTTGTTGCGCTAAAAATCGCATAAATTCTTTTATAAGCGCCTATTGTTTCAGAGGTGGTTGCAGAGATCCTTGGAGCTCCGGATCTCCATTTAAATGCGGGCTCTACTCTCCAGTTGGTCTGCTCTCTAATACATTCGACAGAGCCACCGACATACGTTTTCTGGTATCACGAAAGCCGAATGATCAACTACGACTCAGGAGTAACCGTTCTTCCCAATCATTCTTCTAGCGTTCTTCTAGTGCACGACGTGGATAAGAGTCACAACGGTAACTACACTTGCAGCCCTTCAAATGCAAAACCATCTTCGATTTATGTTCACGTATTAAATGCTACGGCAGGTAGGTCACGTAAATCCATGAAAACTTTTACATTTCTGCAGTAATTTGCAGTCAGCTGGATTGAATGTAGTAGCCAAAAACTTGACAAACTTTCCTTTCGTTCTCAAAAATTGCGCCGTTACATTTTATCGCAAATGCTAAAACAAATGACTTGACAGAGTAATCTAAATGATAGTGCAACTTTATGCATATTTTTTATCTGAATTTTCTTGTGGTATTGTAAAATACTGGTTTGCAAGGGAGGAAAAAGTAGGGAAAGAGCGAATATGAAGATGGGAGACGAAAAATAAGAAGAAGTGACTGATTTTAGGTATCTATTAAGCAGAAAAGTCAGGGCGGAAGGAGTTGAAGAGATATAAAGCAGAGCATAATGCAGGATCGAGTAGCCTTCAATAAAGAAGAAGTCACTTCTATGCTCCCGAACGGTTAAATTAGAAATTGGAAAAAGGTTGTTAAAGATGTATGTTTGGGGCGCAGCGCTGAACGGGTGCGAAACATGGAAGGTGGGCGCGACGAAAAAGAAAAGGTTAGAAGCGTTCGAAATGTAGTGTGGTGGAGGCAAATGACGAGGATACCGTGGATAGAGAAGGTCAGAAATGAAGAGGTATTAGAAAGAATAAGAGAACAGAGGACTCTATGGATGTCAATAAGAAATAGGCGAGATAAGTTGGTAGAACACCTTCTCAGGCATGAAGGGCTAGTCAGAGACACATTAGAAGCAAAAACAGGAGTTAGAAGGAGTAGAGGTAGACCTAGATTAGATTACTATTTACAAATAGTTAAGGATGTAGGTTGTTCTAGTTTTAGGGAATTGCGAAGATTAGCTTAGGATAGGAAAGAGTGGAGGTGCGTGTCCAACCAATCTTAAGACTGACGACCTATGATGATGATGATTATAAATGACTACGACAATCCTTTTGGCTTATTCCATTATCATTTTAATTAGTTCTTCGTTTATTATCTACGCATGCTATTAGGTCATAAGGAATTTGATGTGCATGACGGTTTAGTTTCGTTTTCCAATTTTGTTCGACGCTATACTACTCTGACCTCTGAATGTAAGTGTTGAGGTGTCAGTCAGGCAAACAATTTGAAAAGGGATTCAGACGTCTATCCCAGTTATGCACAAGTGCACACTACTGTAAAAATAAAACCTCCTCATGCGAACAACCAGATGAAAAATGCGGAAAGAAAATCACATTTTCGAAACTATCAACTGTAACCGTAAAGATCCTCTAGCGTTCTATTTCTTCCTAATATCATTTAAGGTGTATAATAAATAATTTAAGATTGAGGACTAACGTGAAGACTGAACTAAGGTGTTTGTAACTAAAAACAAAAAAAGCAAAATCCCACTAGCTGTTAGTTAAGCTGTTAATAATTAGTTAATCGATAATATAACAACTATTTCTCGACATATATGTTTACTATTTAGCTATGCACTTCAATGGAGGTTAGACGTTATAAGCTAAGTTACAGAACACAAAATTTTTCTATATAGAACGATGATCTAATTATATTGTAGCGACCACGAGCGTGATTGTGTGCGATCGGGCATACGTGTGCGTGAGCGGCTTATCGATTTGCAGACTAGCCGCGGGTCCTTTTCTTCATGTGCGCCGTATCTGTAAACGTGTGTCGTACCTGCGTTCCTGGAAAGCAATTAAACCGTTCAAAGAAAACGAGACTTCTCTGGACGGTAGGAGAATGTTCCCGAAAGAAGGCAAGGGAGTATAAAAAGGAAGAGACGATCGCCGATGGAGTAGAAATAAATTGACCGTCGCAGAAGTAAATCAAGAAATAAATTGACAGTGATAGAAGTGAATAGTAACAGTGACAGAAATGAAATAAATAGAACAGTGAATAGTAACAGTAGTGTAAATAAATAGAATAATTACCGAAGTTTAGTTATAATTTAATAGTGTTTTTAAGTTTAATAGTAATAGTAAATAGTTTTCTTCTTAAAATTTAATTTGTTAAACCCACAAACATTACAATATCTTTTCATATTCATTGATTTGCGATTAAATCTATGCAAGTTATGTTTACAAGAGTTCATCTAGAGATAGCCCTCTGTACATCTACTCAACGTACGCTACTTTGCCACTCTTCCACTTATTATACAGTGTGTTTCTGAAATAAATAGAAAGCTTACAGGAAGTGATAGGGCAAGAAAATTAGGTAATGTTGGTGATCCGAAAGCCACGTATTTGAAAATTCAGATAGGGGTTAGTTCGACTCTGGTAGGATCACGTAGGAAAAAACAACAATGCAACGCTGTACTTAATAATGCAGCAGTATCTGCATTGTATTTCTTTTGCATTGTTTGTTATTTGTTAAATTAAATTAGGTGTAACTGACGGTGCTGTCGGCCCAGCGTAGTTTGATCTTTCAGCGCGGTAGGCTTGTACAGTATCAGTTGAAGTCATTAGCAGCAGATGTCAGTGATATCGAAAACACGTGAAAAATAGATGCAAATGGCGTCCAGTTATCTATGTACAGCCATTGTGCGCACAATAGAATGATTGTTGAACATTTGTTTGTTTTATTCAAGAAACTGAAGAATTCATGATACCTGTTCAAAGTAAAGCAATGGAGCCAAAAAAACTTTGAGAAATATACGATAAAATATCCAACAGAACATCAGACACATGCCGAGAAAGTAATGCATCTGATGGAAATATTGATCATATCACGGGATTGCCAATTCTTACACTGACAGGCATAATAATGTTCTCAAACAGATACGCTCCTACTAGCAAAAAATAACATATCCATAATATAATCACATACTACTATTGGAGAATAATGTAAGTAAACTTTTCTGGGACAGAGATATACCCGCAATTAATGAAGAACAACTAATTATAAGAGGCTTGACGTCACACTGTCGAGAAAGCTAAAACGATCTACTTATCAAACACTAAAATTCTTAGCTAAAAGCATGAGACAAAATTCAGAATATATACCCGTACATCATCATCATCACAAAGTCGTCAGTCCTAAGACTGGTTGGACACGCACCCCCACTCCTTCCGATCCTGAGCTAACTTTCGCATTTCTCTAAAACAAGAACTACCCACATCTTTAACTATTTGCGAACAGAAATCTAGTCTAGGTCTACCGCTACCCCTCCTAACTTCCGTTTCTGCCTCTAATATGCCTCTGACTAGACCTTCATACCTGAGAAGGTGTCCTACTAACCTATCTCGCATATTTCTTATTGACTTCCATAGAGTTCTCTGCTCCAAACATACACCGTTCGCGAACACAGCAGTGACTTTTTTATTGAAAGCGACTCGACCCTGCTTTATATCCCTACTACTCCTTCCGTCCTGACTTATCTGACTTCCTATGTACCTAAAATCGACCACTTCGTTTTTTTCGTTTCCTATCTTTATATTCGCTCTCTCTCTCTACTTTTTTTTCCCTTGCATACCAGTATTTGTGTTTTACTTTTATTTATTTTTATACAGTACTATATGTTACCGCTTCCATTTTATTTAAAGCTATCTCTAATACTGCTATAATATACCCGTACGTGAAATCAAAATACAATCCGAATTATACCAACATTAATTTTATCAATAGGCGTTACACATGTAAATTTAGCCAAATTGGAGGTGGATAAACTCACATTATATGTAATTTCTAAAAATTAGTAAATATAGTCGATACATGCGAAATAATACGTAAATTTCTCGACACCACTGTCAGACACCTCAATTTAGCAGAAATTATTGTCCGCGACCTTATTTTAGGGTAAGAAGCGGTAATATCTCAATGCATAATTTAACATCAACAAAAAAAAAGCGTGAGTGAGGTTCATTGACATTAATCCGTCTTCACTGGCTTTTTAGTGACCGGTGACAACTGAGGAGACGGGAACATAATAAATACATGTTTTAAATGTTCAATAATTGTCAATTCAGTATAAACATCCTGTATCTATATATGTATCTACTATCTATATGTACATGCAGAATTCTTGCAGCAGAAATCGCCACGAAGAGTTTTAAACGAAAATTTAATATCCGTCTGAAGGAACTCGTATTTTTATTTCATTAATCGCAATTTTATAAATTCTGATCTTGTCTTTCACTTTAAGAAAGCTTTTACTGCTCCTTGGATATAAAACCACCACTCCGAATTTACTGCAAGTTCTGCAGTTATTCAGTTCTTTTACGGTTTCCTAAAAGAACCGTTTTATAGAATGCAAAAGCAGAGGTCAGCTATGGTAATGATTGCTTGCGAATAGTACGAGTACATACGGTTAGTGAATAAAACAAAAAGTTAAAATTCTAAACAAACATACCGTAATTTCTTGATTTATCTCAATTTATTATAAAATAGATCTAATACAGTCAACACATCAAATTCTAATTAAATAATTTTGATGGGTATTTTCGAAAGGATATATAGAAGTTAAATCTTTGGAAAAGATACATAATATAGTGTATTATAGAGATAATATTAGTTATTACGTTATCTTGTTGTTGTTTTCTATCCGTTGCTATTATAAAAGACTTAAAATGACTGTACCCCTATAATGGATAAGTTATTACATAAAACATAAACCATAACAAACAATGTCAATTTAAAGAACATGCATCAATGAAGAAAACATCAATTGTATAAATTTGTCCATCTGCCTTTTTTTAAATGAATATAAACATACAGGACAAGATGTTAGAGATCGTATGTTTAAGCTAGTTAGTCACATTTACGAAAGTTCCAGAGGATTATAAACGGAACGTGGTCGTAACTATACCTAAAAATAGAGACACTGATAGGTGCGAGACATTCAGAGCAATTAGCTTAACTTCCCATGCGTCAAAAATCTTAACTAGAATTGTACAGAGGAAAAAAGGGCGGAAGAACTATTAGGGGACGATCAATTTGTGTTCAGACGAAATAGAGGAACGCAAGAGGCCATTCTAGCTTTACGGGTAGCAATAGAGAAAACGATAGAAAAAGGAAAGAGTGCGTACATAGGTATG